TCTTTCTGGAGTGGTTCTGCTGGGGAAGAGCTAAGGCACAATTCAGTACAAATACACGTCCCTATTAAGGCACTGGCAGGCAGGAAGCTGGTTCGGTTTTAGGTTTGAAACGGCTACAAACATAAAGGAGGGCAGGTGAAATTGCAGCTTTGTGGGATTCACACAAGCTTCCTTTCCTAAATAGGTGGAGTTTGGGCCTTCCCGTGGTTAGCAAACTGAACAATACCAAAACAGCATCAATTCACTAAGCACAGCAATGAACTCCTCAGCCAGGCTTGGCTGGGTAAAGTAACAGCCACATTTTCCATATCTGACCATCTTTGGCTGGAAAGTTGACCGTGGGTAGGACTTTTTTCCAGCTGAAGTAGTCCCGCTTGACACTTAACCAGCCCAAGCAGTTCTGAGGCGCTAAGACTGGCCTGTTCCCTTTTGCAATATAATTAGACAAAAGCCTACTGAGGGTAATAAATATGGAGAGGTCACTGCATTAAACAACTTAACTTAGAAGACATAATTAAATAAATGAAATGTTTTACAGAAAGTGCTTTCCCAGCTCTTCTCCTGTAGGGGGCGTCCTTCGCTACCAAGGTTCAGGTCCTAGTTTTGAGCGAGATGGTCTGTTTGCAGTCCGTGCTGCTGCCCTCCTGGGCTTCAGGGAGGCCCACCGAATGCTCCGTGGTAGCGAAGAGCAGCATGTCGAGGGTGGTCTCGGTGCACTTGGCAATCAGGCGGATGAACGGCCGGACATCCCCTTCGTTGGCCACCTCCAAGGCGTGGTAGTACTCGGCCCGCTGCTCCTTCCGGATGGTGATTGGGGGGTAGCCGGCCTGCATGAGAATCAGGTTCATCAGGAGCCGCGATGTCCTCCCGTTGCCATCTACAAACGGGTGGATGTACACCAGTTTGTAGTGGGCCAGAGCGGCAAACTCAACCGGGTGCAGGCTCATGGCGTCCTCGGAGTTGATCCACTGCACAAACTCCAGCATCTGCTTTTCCACGTCGCGAGGGTGGGGCGGGACATGGTGGCCAACGAAGACATGGGTAGTCCTAAATCGGCCAGCCTCAATGGGGTCTACGTAGCCCAGCACCCTCCGGTGGATCTCCAGGAGGTCCGGGAGGGTGACGGAGCCAATCCTAGAGACAAGGGTGGTGTTGACATACTTCATGGCGGCGTGCATGCCGATGACCTCGTTCTGCTCCTCCAGGCTTTTCCCGGGAACGGCGTATCGGGTCTCGATGATGTGCCGGATCTCGGCGAGCGTCAGAGTGTTGCCCTCGATGGCCACCGTGTGGTAGATGTGGTGATAGTAGGACTCCTCCATCACCCTCCGCAGGGCAGAGTTGCCTTTGGGGATGGACAGGACCTTCCGGACTTTGCTGTCGATGATGCTGAAGTACCTCTGGTCGATTTCTTCCACAAGAGGCAGCGTCCGGTCCCGGCTGACCAGAGCCTTCTCGTTGTGTGGGGAGATGGTCAAGGCTTTGGAGTACAGATAGTCGGCCTGGATGATGTCCTTCTCCTCCTCGGAGAAGAGGCCGAACTCGGTCAAGGCATCCACGTAGTCTGGGTCCATCTTGAGGGCGTGCAGGAAGAGCTTTTGAGCTTTTTCACGCTTCCCTTGTCTTTTCATCTCCAACGCCTGATGCAGTGCAGCTTTGGCTTCTAGTCTGACCTCTGAAATGAAACAGTGCATTTTCTTCAGCAATTTGTTTTGCAGGACATCTAGATCAGGGGTGTCCAACCTTGGCAACTTTAAGACTTCAACTCCCAGAATTCCTCAGCCAGCCATGCTGAGACACCCCTGATGTAGAGGTAAACCATTTCTACCCTCCGTTGTTAGACAACTCAGCCTAACCTCAGCTTGATGGTGAATTTCATGCTTGTTCAGTTAGCTTTGGTTATTTTGTGCCTTGTATTGAAGCGCATATGGATTCTTTCCAGCAGCTTCTTGGGGCACCTTCACAAAACCCAAAGTTAAGGTAAGTTTGAAATCAACCGACTTAAGAAATTCAGGAACAACTAAAGGAAACGGTACTTCTCAAAATGCAGTCTACACACACAAAAGAAAGGGTGGTGTCTGGTTAGGCTTAACTTCCTCCACTGGGTGCCTCTGCGTGTATTTAGGAGGAGCTCCTAACATTCTCAGTCAGAATTCTGGGAACTGAAGTCCCAACACGTCAGCAGAGAGATAACAGGACAGAGAGATTAGTGAGATTGTTTACTTATAATCTGCAAGCATCATCACCAAGGACCCCCTCACTTCAACCCACAACTATTCTCCTTTATTGGTGCCTCTTTGGAGAGCAAATCCGGAGTGCACGCGAGGGTCCAGGGACGCACCTGGGGAGACTTTGGGCTTCAGCACCATCAGCTCCAACCCGCCAGAAGTCACGCTGAGCTCGGTGGTCTGCCCCGTGTAGGTGGCGACGCCCATGTAGCCCAGCCCCAGCTTACTCCTGAGGAAGGCCCAGCCCTGGAGGGCGGCCTGGCACTGCTCCTCCACCAGCAGCACTGGAAGGAGCACCACCAGGAGAGCCGCCAGTACTGCCGCCAGCACCGCCGCCCAACGGGACCGGAGCCAGAGGGAGACCCATTTCAGCTCCGGCTCCACCACCGTCACCGCGGCTGCCATGGAGACCAGGTTCATCTGCGCGCCAGGAACAGCCAGGGTCGCATCCTCCTCCTTTTGGGGGGGGGTCTCACCTGGAAAAAGAAGGGGGGATTAGCAGGGCATCCCCAGGTGACTCTCCTCACCTCTTTTGCACAACCCAACAAACCCGGGTCTGGCTGGGGAGCCACCCCTAGCTAGGCTCTGGCAGCAGCGCCCCCCTCGCCCATGGGGGGCTGTGAGAACCCCCCCAGCCAGACCC